TGGGAAGGATTACCTCCCCGTGGTGCTGACGTCCAGAAAGCTGATCACGATCAAGGAAGTGGAGCCACGTGTCATTGCACACCCGGGGGTTATCCAGCTTGGGTTGACGAGAGAATTCCAACTGACATGTACACTGGCCGACCCGGCCTCAGTGAATGTAAGTAACTCGATATCAGTAACCTTATTCCGGATCCATGGCCAAACGGAGCAGGTTCTGTCTTCAGTGAGTGTCTTTGAACAAGCTGCTCTCAAGCCGGGTGTCACTGGCGCTATAGTCGAAGGTCAGATAGGAACAGGTCAGAGATATTCCTCTACCTACCTGAAGATGTCTTGGGTCTATCCGGACTCACACGTAGCTGGAAAATACATTTGTGAAATAACAGGAACTGACTCTAGAGGAAAGCCCGTGTTGATAAAGAATTCCGCCACCGTGACGACACTGGAATCTCCTCGAGAACAACTGGTGGAAAAGATTAATGACCTGTACTCTAAGCTGCAGCAAAAAACTGAACAGCTAGATCAACTCGAGAACAATCCTGTTCTTTTCCCCAAAATTAGCAGATGTGACGACCTTCGTCTTACGAATGGGACGCAGATTGTGAGTTTGTTCCCTCCAGATAACCAAAGCCATGTTAATGTCGTCTGTCAGTTCGACAGCCCTAATTCCACGCCTTGGACTGTTTTCCAGAAGCGCTATGACGGGAGCGTTGACTTCTTCAGAAATTTCTCTGACTACGAAAACGGGTTTGGGAATACGACGGGAGAGTTCTGGATGGGTCTCAAGACGTTGAGGCGACTAGTACAGAGCGGAGACTACGAGCTTCAAATAGATTTGGTCAGCAAAAATGGAGTTTCTTACACCAGGAACTACCCACATTTCAGCATCGGTCCCGGTCCGGGATACCAACTCACAGTCAGCGGCTATGATGACAATGGGAAAGGCCTGTCATACCATTCAGGAAGCGATTTTTCCACTTTCGACAAAAACCCAAAGTGTCCCAATCAAGCTCACGGGGGTTTCTGGTACAAGGACTGTTTCTACGTGAATCTGAACGGTCTATGGGGAGTGGACGGATTCAAGAGTATCGCATGGGTTGAGATACACGACAGACATGATTTTTGGTTTAAGAAAACCACCATGAAATTCAGACCTATTCCAAAGTCGACGTAGAATTTGAGTTTGCTATCAACAACTTGATTTCCTACATTAGGTTTACTTAGAAGAAGCCATTTACAACACGCAGGACCGCACAAAGTCTTCATTGCCGTTACTTATCTTTTTAAAAATGGATAAGAACGTGTAGTGTCTTGGTCATACGATCATGGTCAGACAACCAGATAACAACTGAAATAAAGTTAGTCTCAAGATTTTACTTCCGTTCCTTCGTTATTGTTCTAGTCTAACGCGCCCTTAGACATAATACTATTATGGTTTATTGCGAAAGAAGTGCAATATTAGGCAATATTTAGAAATAAAGTTCAAACAATTTTTTAACGCTTTCTTATTCAAATCTGAAATCTCTTGTAAGCCAAACATATATAAAGAGACACTACCCTTTTTGGCGTTTGAAACATTCAAATTAATTTCAATGAAAAGAAGGGAGTATCCCCTTGGTTAACCGGCGTCTGTGGTGTGGTGCTTTGCGCTTCCCCGTCATACGCAGAAGATTTTCGAGTCTGCACATTTGTTTTTTTTAATTTGTTTTTTTTTTGGGGGGGGGGGGTTACATGTATTTTTGCCTTTCTGCTGGGACTTTGTGTCCCTCTCAGCTGGAGTTGGCTCAGATAGGCAGGATCGAAGCCCGCCTCCTAAACGACAATTATGGATTTTGTCGATGTAGCTGTAAAACGCCAACACAAAAACCCCAACAGTTCATTGTTAGCATAACGTATGACGTAATCTGATAGTGATAGCCTTATCAGTATTCTCTGCGGACAATAGCAAGTTTTAGACTACAAGCGTTGTTACGACGAAAGAAATACTGCACGACCAATCTTTTCCTTTTTGGCGTTAACACACAATTATGAAATATCAGTTAATATGCTCTGGACATTAGCAATGTAGTTCTATGCTTGGTCAGGCAATGGACGCTTGGATGTCTTATGAAAGACAATTAATGTATAACGCACTTACAGCATACCATGGTTTCATTTTGACTGCGGTGGAAACTTTTATGTATTCACCGAAGCCATAATTTATCTTTTTATTTATGATGAACTATAATGAAAGAGGTCCTCTTGGAACAGCAGACTTTTTATTGCTGATGATCAGCATGTTGTGAAATGCTATGATAATTCATTTGATTCCTAAGACGTGATTATCGATACACGAGCAAAGCTTACATGGATAATCACGTATTGTCATCAAGTAAATTCCCATAGCAATCCACCAGTCGTACTGATGTCTAGATTCTACCTTCTTAAATATCATTGTTGATTTAAAAAAGCAAAAAATTGGATAGAATATAATATGTACAATATATGATATATATATATATAGATATATACACACACACACACACACACATATGTATAATATAGATAGATAGATAGATAGATAGATAGATAGATAGATAGATAGATAGATAGATAGATAGATAGATAGATAGATAGATAGATAGATAGATAGATAGATAGATAGATAGATAGATAGATAGATAGATAGATAGATAGATAGATAGATAGATAGACAGATAGAGAGAGATAGAGAGATAGGGAGAGACAGAGAGGGAGGGAGGGGGAAGAGACACAAACACAGAGAGAAAAAGAGAGAGAGAGAGAGAGAGAGAGAGAGAGAGAGAGAGAGAGAGAGAGAGAGAGAGAGAGAGAGAGAGAGATCACTTTGAAAACTGAAAACTGCAAGATAAAAAAACTCTGTTTTAGAGAAAAGAAGGGAAAAGAAAAGGAAATTCGCATCTGCCTGAATACGTCATACGTCATAAGTCAAACGTAGATAAACAAAGTCCGAAGAAAATTTCCCGTTGTAATCAACAGCACTTTGTTGTGAATTTTAAAAAAAAATGTCTTTTAAAAATTCCTCCTGCAGTCAGCTAAAAAAAAGTGTGAACATAGCAGGGAAAAAATCCTGTTGTATTTAACAAGACAATCAAAGTGTATAAACGAAGGCTCCATTGTCAGCCAAAAGACAAAAGCGACTGGAAACCGCCCTAATTTCTAGTAACAGGCCACACAAGAGGAAAAAATAGTCTAGAAATAGTACATGTATAAAGTGCGCGTATAAATAATAGTATCATCATTCAGACTCTCTGGTATCATTCATTGCGTTCACACAGCACGAAGTGACCCAACGCTGAACACATGCGGACAGAGACTTAGTAACTGAGCATGTTAAATGTTATGTCAATCAAATAGGTGTATAGATTGCCGTTTTAGAAATTGAAACAAAATAATACAGAAAAAGGTTGATAAGATGAGGTGAGATGAGGTGAGATGAGAGGAGATGAGGTGAGGTGAGGTGAGGTTAGGTGAGGTGAGGTGAAGTAAGATGAGGTGAGATGAAATGAGACGAGATAAGACGAGACGAGATAAAATTAGATGGGATGAGATGAGACAAGACGAGGCGAGACGAGACGAGACAAAACGAGATGAGACGAGCTTGGTGAAAATCGTCTGTTTTGAACGCACAGGACTCATTTCTTGAGTAAACGTGTACCACTGCACCCACAGCACTGTGACTCATTTTGGGTTAGTGTGACGAAACCCTGGGTACAAACAGCACGCGTCAAATGTGGGTGAGCACACTACACACTCCACCTGAAGTGGGACACGTTACTGCTCCAAGTACACATCGACGGCGGCCGACACAAACAGCGCATCCCCAGACTTAGGCCAGACAATGTTTGTTTGTTTGGTTTGGGGGTTTTTTAACAACAACCCCAAAATAATGTGATTTCTTTCTTGTTATCTTCCAAAACTGCTCGAAATTCTGTGTAAAGTGTGTGGGGTTTTCTTTTTACTTAGTATAGTATCGCCAATAATACTACAATAATGGTTGTGAATAACATTTTTCCAAAACAAATGGAATGTTTGACATAATTTGGGAGATGCACCGTCAGAGTGGGACGCCGTAGACGTGTGACGTGTACCTTGACAATGCACTCCATGTTACACCACTTTTTGTGGAAGTGTTTGTAAACCGAGCCAGCATAGCCGTTGATAACTGATCGAATAGGGTCTGGCTAATGGACAGAAAGTGGTAAATTAAAAAAAAGATGTAAAAAACCCCCCCAAAAATTAACAAAATAGCTTCCGAAACGAAAACGTTCTTCCCTGAGAAAGACAAGGACGTCCTCGTGCTCTGAAACATAATATTGTAATTTGGTCTAAGTTTAAGTATTATTCTTCGGTCTAATAGATCTCGATTTTATTTGTGTATTCGTTTTAAAAAATTCAGGCGTCACAGAACTTTAAAAAAAAAGTAAGCCGGGTAAAATGAGAGAATGACGAGCGTGGCTTGAATAACTACATTGTATTTTGTCCAAATCATTACACTGATGTGTTAAATGAACCATTTATCACAATAAAGTCGAGAGAGTCCTTAGCACAAGTCCTGAGCACAAGTCCTGAGCACGCTACAAACACGTAATCTTCCAAGTTTTATTTTTTCCTTCAAGATAGCATGGTGCTGGGTCAGAGGAACTGACCTCACAGGCCGGACCTGACCCGCGGGCCGTAGTTTTGGTGACCACTGTTTAGGACAATGCTGCGGGCAACCTTTGTTTGAATTCTTTCAAGGCAGTCTTCGACTATTAAGAGCTTCCAGGACCTTCCGTGAGATTGCTTAATTCCTACATGAGACAGACGTTGAGTCGAAAGTCGTACTTTCTGATAAAAAAAAGGGGCGTTCCACACCTGTACCATGCCATAAGCTTACAAATAATGACATCTCAACAGCGTTATAATTGTTTCTGCTTTCAGCTTTTGGAAATTTGGTAATCTATATAATTTCTTGTTTTGGTACTCAACTTTCTGCCCCCCCC